GAGGCCAGCAGGGCCATGCCACAACCCAGCTGCCGGCACACCACAGCAGCGTCCAGGAGATCCCAGCCATCATTGCACACTGTGACCCACTGCTGCTCGATGAACACTTGTACTTGCCCTGCGCAGCGGCTGGAGCCATTCACTAGTTGCAGCAGAACTGGGTCTGGAAGAGAGAGAGGTAGGGACATGTAAAGAATTAAGCACCTTTCCCAGGTTACTATGAGGAAGTGCGCAGGGAGCCATCCTTGTGCAAATGTCACAGGCACCCTGGAGCTCCTTGAATATTCCTGGACACCTGCACCTGAATGGATCCTGTCCCAGGATCACAGCTAGACATGAGCACGGGGATGACGACTGCGTTTAGATATCATTCACCCCACCTAAGGCTCTAGTAATTGGCAGTTTGCAGGAGCTAGAAACGATAAATAGTGCTAAATTTGCTAAGGGTATCCCAGGGTTTACCCACAGACTGCTATTCACTCTAGCGCTGCAAGGTTGGATATACATATACACAGAGCATAGTTTTAATACACAAAATATGCATATATATGTGTGTGTGTATCTATGCACACAGTACTGATGCATATATGCATCGACTATACTAGGAAAACAGTTTTATGCTGCACATTTAATAGCAAAATTAAAATAAAAGGTATGTTGAGAGTCCAAGTGCTAGTCCTACTGTGGTGGATTCCTTAGGCTTTTAATGCGTTTTGAGAGACAATATCTCCTCTTACAGCATCACTGAATAATTGAGGCTAGAAACAAACCCTGCTCATCTCTGGCCCAGCCCTGTCCTCAAAGCAGTTTCTGCTAGACCAATTGTTTCAGATTTGTCCAGTTGAAGTTTGGATAATCCAAAGATATCAATCCCACAACCTCTCTGGGCCTCTGCTCCCATGTGTCAGACTATCCTCACAGAGGAAACATTCCTCCAACTCTCTAATAGGAATTTCTGTTCTTCCAGAGTGTGACTGCTGCCTCTCATCCTGTCACTGCATCTCTGAGGAGAGTCTGTCTCGCTCTTCTCTGCATCCTCCCATCAGGTAGCTGCAGACAGTAAGGCCTCTTCTCCAAACTGAACAAATCCAACTCAACCTCTGCATATTGGTCATACTCCAGTCCCCAGTCATCTTGATGGACTCTACTGGATGCACCCTAGTATGTCAATGTCTTTCTTGCACTGCAGAGCTCCAGATTGGTCAGAGTACCCTAGATGTGGTCTCAGAAGTATCGAAGAGAAAGGAAGAGCCTCATCCTTTGACTTACAGGCTGCACTCCTGTTAATACAACCTAGGATGCAGCTGGTCCATGCCGAAAGGGTGATCTGTTGTCTGCTGATCAACTTGTTCACCAGGACTCCCACCTCCTTTTCTGCAAAGCTGCTTTCTATGCAGTTGCCTACCCAGGCTGTCCTGTTGCACACAGTTTTTGCATCCTAGGAGCATGACTCTGCATTTCCTTTGGTTGAACTTCCTGAGGTTCTTCAGACTGTTTCTCCAGGCTCTTGAGGTCCCTCTGCATAACTAATCTGCTCTACAGAATACGGATTGCTCTCTCCGATTTGATATTATCCACAGATTTGCTTAGAGTGCTGTTAATAAAGACTTTAGACAGTCTTGGACCAGCACCAATCCCTGAGAATCATCACTAGTAACAAGGTGCCTGTTGGACTTCATAACCCTGACCAGCACCTTTTGAGACTGGTGATCTAGCCTTCTGTTCCACCTCCCTTATCAACCACTTATCCAGTCCATATCTTGACCACTTTGGCTGTAAGGATGCTACAGGAGATGGTGAAGAATGCCCTGCCAAATTCAAGGTACACAGCACCATCCACATAGCCAGTCAGATCATCACAGAAGGCATCCACCATGTTCAGAAATAAGCTGCCTTTGACAAATTTCTGATAGTCATTCCAAATGTCTTTCTTGTCCTTCATTTATCTGGAAATAGCTTCCAGAAGCTGTGCAATTTTCTCTGAGGTGCCACAAAACATTCCCAGAGACTGAGGTGAGACTGACCAGTACGTAGTTCTCTCAGTTTTCCTCATTACTCTCTTTGAAGATGGTGCAATTTCTTTTCTTCTTTTTTATTTCTTTTTTTTTTTAAGCACAACCTTTCCAAGGTGGTGGAGAGCAGCCTCACGATAACACTGGCCAGGTTGTCTCAGCATATTGACATATTGACTAGTCTCACGGCCCAGTTTATGTGGCCTCCATACAACATGCACCATTCAGTTCAACTGCATCCTGAACCTGCAGTTAGCACCTGGGCCAGTCCCATGGCCCAGATGCCTACATCATACTTCTGCATCTTCTATATCCCAAGCCAGTTGAATTGGATGGCATTGCTTTTCCTGGTTTCTTCTCTGGACATCATCTTATCTATAGTCTTGTTGAAGGATGCATCAACACACCTCTGCATTGCTTCAAGTTAGAGATGAGCCCTAATGGTGGAGCTCCCTTGTTGCTGTGCCTCACCAAATGATCCCATTGGCTCCAGTGGAAACTGATCCTTGTGTTTAGCTATTCAAATCCTATTGATAAATTGCAGAGAGGGAAGGTAGGGTTTCTAAATCAAACCAAGGTCACTCCACATATTCTCAGAAACTCCAAGGATTCATGAGCAACAGCTGATAACCTCATTTACAGTTTCTATTGCCTTTGTCACTGGGCTCCTGGCTCAGCAGGGACTGCCTCTTCCTTTGGGATGACATTTGTCTAAAATCTCCACGGATTTTCTGACACCATCTCTGCATCTCCCGATGTCTTCAAGCTGAGGACTGCATTTTAACCAATATTCCCCATTTAAAATGCTCTGCAGGAAACTGTGGCCAAAGAGTTATTTACTGTGATGATAGGAATGATGCTGGAATCTTCCAGTACCGGGTTCCATCCTTACAGGTGTCCAAGGCTTGATTGGGTGAAATGACAGCTACCCTGTCCTAGTGCTCTCCTTGTGCTATGAGTAGGAGTTTGGATTGTAGATTCCCAAGGTCTCCTCCTACCAGCACTAAAGGTGGAGG